ATATTTTAGTTTAAAAATGTCTATTTTATAATTATAACCTCAAAAAATTAAGAATATAAAAGTTTTTTATAACACGCTATAGAAAACTACTTGGCGATTAGGTGAGGAGAGCCTCCAAGGGCACCTTGTCGCTTTGACAACTATGTTTCTGCCCCTATTATTTTCCTTCTCCATCAAATCATAATACTCTGTTTCAAGCACTCTCTCTTGTGTAGCTGGACAGGGACGTAAGTTTAAAGCAGCCCTCAACATTGTCCTGTCGTACTTGATAACAGATCACGGCACCCACGGTCTACGAGCAAAAGGTTGGCTCCACCCACAGTTGAACCGAGACTGCAACTATTTCTCTCATTGATGAATCAAAATTCACAGCATCGGTGTCATGTTAACAATCCAGGGGTCCATGTTTCAGAAGTCCCCAACTAATCACTGTGTTATCTGTTTAATCATTTCTCAATTCATGGTTAAACTGCTTGTTTTTATCAGAAGTAGATTAGTTTAAGTAATCGTCCACTCTTGGATGATTAATGTAGTTCCCTTTGCATTTAGTGTTAAATTTATTACTATTTTTCTTATTTTTTCATTCTCACCTTTTTACCTACTGAGTTACTGCATCCAGCCATGTGAAATTCTTGCCTGGCTTATGTGTTCTTTGGGATTTATTTAGCGTGAAATATATTTGATTTTGAATAATCATAGTCGATGAATGTGAGGGCTACTCAAAAAATTTATCACTACTAGTATCTACCAAATGGTTGAACCTGGGTAATATGATTTCTTTTTTTTATGAAAAATTGGTTTTAAGTGCTGAACTGATAATTAGGCATTTCATGAGACTTATATTGGGTCATTTTCTATTCTCTGTTTGCTCCATGATGTTATTGGATTCCCATCTTTAAAGCTTCTATTAACCTTCAAACAAAAGACTACATCGCACCATCCTGTCCAAGTTTTTGTCAATAAAATGCCTCTTGTAAAAAGTTAAATGCCCTTTCTTGTTTAGAACTTGAACTCCCTTTTTGCTTTACATTAATTACATATTTACATGCTTGAAGTTTTGTATCATCTTACTTTGATCGGTTGGTTCTAGCTGTTTGAGGAAAGAATAAAACACACCATTGGAACTGGAGGTCTACACCCTCTCATCAGAACCCAAAGGGGGAAGTCTTATTATATAAAATAAGTTCAATTCATCCTAACAACTGCAGTATACTAATAGGGAAGGAGATCATCCCAAGTCCCTATCCAGGAATAAGTTGTTATAGAAACCAGATTATCAATCAAAGTGGTAATTTGTCAATGAAACAAGCAAGACATTTTCTGAATTTTATGCATTTATAAATAGTAGGAAAATTGTTCATGATGAGTGAACAGCCAAACCATAATGAAAGAACCGATATAAGCCACAACTCTTCTAGCATCTTCAAATTTCCCTTCAAAAGTTCTTCTGTTCCTCTCCCTCCAAATGCCCCTGCTGATTGCAAATGGATCCACACCCACAGAAATTTTGCCTTTTTACTGCCAGAAAAGGCTGGCCGGTTTCAAGGGGAAAAAAGGAAAAAAACATCTTTCCACAATCCTTCAAAGAATTTCCAAACAGAATCTGCTACACTACAATCACAGAAAAGATAAACAGCCTCTTCATTACACACCCCTTCTTTTCAGATGCTCTCCAATGACTAATGTCAGAATACTCTCAAGAGAAAGGAGCCAAGCAAATGCTTCAACTCTTGGAGGTATTGAATTTCTCCAAACCTCTTTATCTCAGACCATTCAATCTGATTTCTAATCAGTGAATCAGAAAATTGATCTTAATAGTCCACTAGAACATTCTTTCCACCATTTCACATCTGGTAATACTAGTGAAATTTTCTTCTCCAATCTTTTAAAAGGATGCATTCTTTCATCTCTCTTTCTGATGGTCAGTGCCTAAAGATAGGATACCTAACAATCTGTCCATTTCTCACTTCAAAGCATTCCTTAACTAATGTTCTTGTTGCTAAGCAAATATAAACTAGGACATAGCAAACACAACTTCCACACACCATACCATTCATCAAGGTTATTTTTCAAGAGCTATTGAAATTGTCAATCCCATTAAGGGGATATGGAGATGATGTTCAAGGTATTGATTATAAAAAAAAAATAAAAAAAAAATCCTCTATTCATGTCTTTAGTATGTTGGTCTACCCACTATTATTTCCTACATTTCTAACTTTTAGGCAAGGTTTAAAATGTCGATGTCGATGGAAATGTCGCTTACCAAAATATAGGGCATATAGAGGGGAAATATTGTAAAAATTAGAGACATTGTGGAAATATTATGAAATATGCGAAAATATGCAATGRTATTTTGTAAAATGATAAAAGAAGCATGAATACATATTTCTAGACTATTATCTTATTCCGAACCATTATATAAAGCTAAGAAACTAAGATCAATAACAAACTAGTAAATGGTGATTTACTGATTTATTATGCATTTTGATGTTTTTACAAGGTTATCCGATATTTTCTTTTCTTATTTTTAATTTTTATTTA